AAATGCATTATAACTCTAAATGCATTATAACTCTAAATGCATTATAACTCTAAATGCATTATAACTCTAAATGCATTATAACTTGAAATGCATTATAACTCTAAATGCATTATAACTCTAAATGCATTATAACTCTAAATGCATTATAACTTGAAATGCATTATAACTCTAAATGCATTATAACTCTAAATGCATTATAACTCTAAATGCATTATAACTTGAAATGCATTATAACTCTAAATGCATTATAACTCTAAATGCATTATAACTCTAAATGCATTATAACTCTAAATGCATTATAACTCTAAATGCATTATAACTCTAAATACATAATTTATAACTCTAAATGCATTATAAATTTAGCCCTTTGAACCGCAAGAGTGACTAGCATATAAAAAATTTTTCTCACAATATCACCCCTGAATCACCAAACTACAGACTGAAGCTCTTGATTGTGACACACAACAAGTCTCATATTGCATACTTTGCTACAATGCAACAATGTCATGGACAACCTTGGTATCTGTGGAAACAGTGATTAATGACAACTGACTGGCATGGTGTTGTTGTTTTCCGATCATTTCAATCAGTGCAACTGAGTTGATAATATACATGAAAAAATTAGGCACGTCTGATGGGCTGTCGAGTGCATTTGTCATGTACCACAAGTGTAAAGTTGTACCACAAGTGTAAAGTTGTAACACAAGTGCAGATTACAGATAGTGCACCCTGTTAAAATTTCTGTCTGTCATGACTTTCTGTGATACTTCTTTCATGAAAATTTGACACGATTTCTCATGCCACTTGGTCTAAATAAGCAATCAAATTCAAATACTACAAATTGCACTCATCCTATAGCACCCTACTTGTGTTTACTAACACCAAATTGTACTGGAAATCGCGTTTTTATCTCTAGTATGCTAATACAACAAAAAAGTACTCACTAGATTCACTAGGAAGCTTTTGGTTGGAGTATATCCATTCAATAATGTCGTTTTTGTTCTTTTCTACTAAGTCAAGTGAATTCAATATATCCAAACCAGAAAGAGCAAAGAATGCCACAGTTATTCTACAAAAGAAAATTGTCACATCATCTGAGATCAACAAAAATAACAGCTTTGATATGATGAAGTGATTCATAACCTACATATGTGCTCATCTGAGGTAGTAACTGGGGTAAGCTTTTAGTCTCTGCACAAACTTACACAAACGTATTCAGTGAATAAATGAAAGAATAAATTTAAACAAAAATAAATAGATAAAAATATATATTCAAAAACGACATTCCACGACATGATTCCACAAAACCAAAAATTTCAAAAGTTGACAGGCCCTCAGTTCATATAGAGTTGATCTCAGTTGGAAATTGTTCAGTTAAAACCTGATTCACTTCGAAAATCGATATGTTGTAATGACATTTTAGAACTTTTAACTTGTCTTGCAACTAAACTCGACAAATTCCAGACTGACATATATATATACCTGTCCTCATATAGGGTAAATCACAGTGTATGTTACAGAGCCTAATTAACTCTCGAAGATAGTTAAGAACAAAGTTCATTTAAGTTAGCCAGGCTTCCAGATCAATCTTCACTATTTCGCCTGCAGTATCCAAATATAATTAAAACATCAGGAATAACGAAGAAAAATCTGTCGTAGTGATCGATGGCCGATCTGTATGATAGTAGCGTAAAACGGAAACACTGTAATTAGTTTACGACGAGTAACATAATTAAACTTGTGAGTGAACAAACCTGCTAGTATCTAAAGAGCTATAGGGCGATGGCAGTACTTCTAAGCATCGTTTAAAGTACTGAATGTGCTTCTTACAAACAAAATCTTCGTTTACAATTTCCTGACTAGTATCATTTTCAATCTCCATGATTTTCTCGCTCATTACTCATGCGTATCGTGTAAGCCTCACTGAGGTGTTAGAGGATCACATTCGAAGAAAAAGACTGGGAATGAGGATGAGATTTTTTTGCACCATTCACATTGAAGTGTGGTGAAAAGAGGGAAATATTTTCTCTCTATCTGGACTGGTAGATTCATCACAGATCAATCCTGTTGGCGATGAATACGTTTAACTTGGTCCTGAATTTTTTTTTTTATTTTTGATGAAAAACTAGCATAGTAACCCTGTAAGTTTTTATTGTCATCCACAGGCCAATCTCTAGACAGGTGTCGACCGTGTACGCGTGTCATGTCTGGGTAACTTATCGAAACTTAACAAGGCTCAAGGCTTTGAATTTCGAAACAAAATAAATAGAAAAATGAATAACTAATAAAGAAAAGTGAAGAAATCTGCCGGTAAACAGCTCCACAAGTCCCACGGGTACAGAGCGCTTTCAGTTTCGTGGAAGTGAGAACCATTTAGCCTTTCCTTTCAAATACTGTATTTAAAAGTGGAACCTCAGCTATGCGACACACCCGTTCAGGGGACGCCACCATTCCGCAGAAACAACACCTGTCCCCGAAAATGTTCAATTAACCTTTGTATGTGTACCTCTATTAAAGGAACATTTATATTCACGAGAAAATGAACTTTTGGGGGGTTCGAAGGTTGGTTTTAACCGCTAACTCGTGTCTACGTGCAAAACCAATCTGAAATCACTACAGATTTTCTGTCTCAGACTAACTACTTTGTATGGATGAACAGAATTTTAGCTAATAGTTGTTCAGTTCATGTTCGAAACAAGTTGTTTCTGTTCGCAAAATTTACCAAGTGCCCCATAACTCGTGCCTACCTGAATGACTCAAATCAGTCTATTTTGAGGATTGGGGATTGAGCAATTTGTGAAACATAGTTTTTTGTACAACATATGCTGCTTGAAGTAACACTGTCCACCGGATTCCAAACCAGAATGAAGTTAATGATAATAATAACAATAATGATGAAGATATTAATCTGATATTTTGTTAATTAATTAGTAACAACCACCAGCCAAACTTCTATTCAGGGGACACTTACCCTGTTCCAAAGGGTGTCCTTTGAATGGAAGTTTCATGGTATAAGTTATGGAGGAATGTTCTAATATACCTCAGAACGTTCCGCTGATTACCTTGTTATTCTTAAGTCGTCCGATTTATAAATAGGATATGGTATGATCACTAAGGTTTGAACTATAGGCTGCTACCTATGTCAATGTAATTGGAGCTCGTATCAAGCTTTCGTTGTTGTTGTATTCGCTCGGTAAGTTTCCAGTAAATCTGTGCGTTACTTCCTACAAGTGTCCACTACATAAGTTTGACAAAGTTTCACAAATTTCATCATTTTAAGAACCACAATAGATTTTAAAAAAATTAAGATGTCTCCTTACAATCTGGAAAAGGTGGTATTTTTGAAATTCAATGGAGAAGGTTACATGAGGGTTAGTTGAAAACTACTTCGAGAGCCTCTCCCCACCCCATCCCCTCGCCCTCTCACTGTCTCTTGCCTAAGGTCCAAGAATTAACCAAAAACAAACTGGTTTGTTTTCATATTTATTGAATTAACTATACAAACGCTTAGTAAATTCATCTCGACTTCACCAGGAGGGTTTCGATACGGTCCGAGGTGACGAAATTATTACCCAAATTTCAACCCAAACATTTTTTTTCATAGCAAAAAAATCGCTAAATTGGCTCAGTCTTTGTTAGGTCTCATAATTTAAATTTGTCTAAGTTCAAAAGCTGCTCCTTTGAAATGACTGAAAAATATATAACCAACATTTTTTGAGTTGAATCAAGACTGATGATCTCCTTTTTAGATTGTAAAGAGTGCTAGTTTGGATCGAGACAGCCTCTTAGTTGTTACGAGTAAATTCATGAGCCAAAGATTCTTCATTTGTGCATAAGTTTTTTTTATTCCCGAACGTTAGAACGATATCGACCACACCAACTTGTCCTTGTTCCTTATCCTCTCTGACTCAGTGACCACAGCAGAACCAAATAGTTGAGTTGAGCCACAGCATGTCCATCGTATTACGTTATCCTCTGGTGTAATTATGCTGCGCTTGCCTGTGTTTCTTCTTTTTGTTCCATATTCGATCGACTCTAAAGCGACTGTATTCACTAATCTTTTCACCACACTTTGGGCAAGTGTGAACTACATTCTTGAGCCCGTCCATTATAAAGGGTATCCACATACAACAGTAACACCTGGAATGTAAAATTACAAGTTTAAATATTCGAAATCACGCTGGGGCGATACGTTTGCTTTTATTTTACTGAAACAGGGGGGAAAAATAAGAAAAATATTTGCGCGTGAAAAGCTTAGGTCGTTGATGAGAAATCATAGGAACAAAAGGAATAAGAGAAATTTCAAAGAACGATAGTACAACTATTTTGCTTCCTGGCTACGATCACGGCGATTTTTATTGTTTAGCGTGATAGGCTTTTTGTGGAGCTAATAAACATTGATTTAGTTATTCACTACAAATTAAGGTCTGTTACTCGATGTGGCAAATGCATGAGATCAACTAAACAGAATCCAGAATATGAAATGCTGGCCACAAGAGGGATTTTCTATTGGTAAATTAATGCTTTGAAATTAACGGGGATCCGCAAAAAAATGTATTTCATCTGGCATGCGATATACCATACAAGGAGAGTCAACAAAACAAACGCGTCATTTGTTAGAAAAGTTGACGTGACTCCGCCAAATTCAAATGCATCAGACACAAGGTCAAGGTCTTTTTTTTGTCTGGCCTAGAATCAACCTTTAAAAACAAGAATAAAAATGAATTTGAAATAAAAAATTAAATTAAAAAAAATGGATAAGATGAGATTTGATGAGATAAAACGTTTTTATACCACCTAAGAAATCATCTTTCTTTCTTTATTCCCATGAAATTCAAGGTTTGAAGTTTCTCGGGAATCCATTCCATAACAAGTGACTTTTTCAAGTATTCAAGGATTCCTTTTTATTAGATGCACTTTGAAAAGCTCAAAAGCTCTTAACACGTTGTTGGTACTCTAACATTAACGAAAGGTAGTGCAACACGAGTCAAATTTTCAAGTTCTAAACTGTTAAAAAAAGACGACTTGTAAAACGTGAAAAATGCATTTTGGGCAGGCAAATAAGAACGGCGTCGCTTGTAGTTTCTCCGTAATCCTCGCGTCTTAGCCGGTCGAAGAATAAATACACAAATGAAAAAAAAAAAAAAGAATTCAGCAGGTGGAGAAACTGATCAAGTGAACCTGATTAGCAACAAAAGTTTGTTCTGTATCATATCAGCATGAGGTGTCACCTCCTTTATGGCGCGATTATTATATGAAAAGAATGTTTTGACAACTTATCTACATAACTGAAACATTTCACGCTAAGTTCGCGATCAAATGATTGGTTCTCGTGAGAGAAATATTCGTTTTAGAGCGCGTGGCGTTCGCGCAATAATTGATAAAGGGCGATCATGTTTATACCGAGTTTTACGAATCAGGCACCTCAGTAAAGCTGACTATTGTAGCTAAATCCAAAGCCGTGCGAAAAGCGACTCATCTGCATTAGATAAATTAAATCAGTACTATTTATTGTATATACGGCAGACAGTTTGCAAAACAACTCTGTTTGATTCGAATTAAAATAGGTGAAGTCTGAAATTAAATGTACTGTATATCATTTTAGATGAAAACAAAGACCCAAACCTATTTTTTACTGACTTTTGATCCGAGATTGTTCCTATGTAAAGTTCACTTCAAATCGCGATAGCTGACTAAAATTCTACTGATAAACTTTGTTTCTGATTTATATAAATAATCTGTTCGGCTTCATTTTCATTGAAAAAAAGTCCGTCCGTCTCCTTGAAACACGGACGAAAAATTAGCTTCGATACCCTTGTTTTGAATACATGCAAGTCTCGGAACAATTATATTCACAGCGATATTTTCAACCACAGAGAATGAATGTTCTTCAAGAGTCAGTCATACATCAGAAACAAAAAATATTTGGAACGAAATGCTAATCCATACTTACTGAAATATGCACAGACAGGCCGAGGTCCAGTAGGTATATTTTCCAGATTTGAAACTGGTACGAGTGACAATTTTTTCATGGCAATATGGACATGTAATGTACACTGGAACATCTTCGAAAGCGGTTTCGGCGTCAGAGGATTCCGCGCCATCTGCACCTGCTTGTTTAGCAGACTCCTCGCCTTCACACGCTTTTTGAGAGACCAGATGTATCCTTTCTTCGTCGGTCATGTTTTGAAGTCCAACCTGAGAACTACAAGCTTCTCTGAAGAAAACGCCGGCTAGCGTCTTTTTCAAAAGTATTTTTAGGAATCCCGAGTGTTCGGTTCCTAAATATATTTTGAAATTGTTACTTTAAACAACACGACATTAAAATAGTTTATCGCATACCTCATTCGTTAGACGCTGTCTATTTGCGTTTTTCTATTGGCCGAACACGACATCCGCAGCCTTTGTTGCTCGATTACAGAGCAAATCTTTTTCCTCGCACTTCACCCAATCAAGTTAATTCTCTTTCAATCTAAGGAATCTCACTTGACGATAATAAATGTAATTTCGGAATTACTGAAATAATAATTTTTTTGACGCTACACAGTCCCACTTACAAAAATTACAAGCTTCTTAGTGATTTAGAAAAATGAAAACATTGTAAACGCTGTACTTAAGTGAAAAATCATAAATTTCATTCAAGATGTTCATAAGCATCAGTAGGGCTTGACACTGATTCTTATTAAACGTTTGAACCATAAACTTCCATAACCAAATTAGATTGAAAGTTGTCTCTGCTCCAGTTCCAAACCAGATAATGTCAAACCAGATATCAAGATATATTACATGTTGTTCTATTCAACAGCTTAGAGTTGTCTTTCTTGTTTAATTCAGAAAAGCTTATAAAATAATACACCCAGAATATATGTTTGCATTTAAAGAGTACACGAAAGAAATTGCTTTTTTCTTCGTTGTGAAATTGTGAAATTAAATTTTGTCAGAACAATCAAACTTCTTTCGGGGCAGCAAAAACGGAATTGGATTTTCTTTCCACGTAGTTTTGTGGGAATGAATAAAACATGAAATCTGAACCATATGGTTTATTTAAGCTAGATCCTAACTGAGAAATCTGCCAAAGCCCGCCCAGAAGAAAACGTTTTTTGATTGCGTTGCAGATTAGAACCTCGAAAAACAATCGAGCTGCAAGCTGAATGGGCGGCCAAGTGTTTAACCACTGCCGCAGTGGCTCTTGCGGTCAAGGAAAATCTATAACTACAGTAAATTACTTCAACCATACCAAATACGCTTTCAAACAGGCACTGTTTCTTATTGTCTCCCGCGCTAACTGCCGAACACTTTCCATCCATCGAGAGGCGTTCATAAAGACACTTTCAAAGTGATGAAAACGAGAAAATTATTGAGCAAAACAACAAAATCACAAGGTCTGGGAAATCAACCGTCTATCATGCAAAGAAACTCTCGGTTAAAAGAAATCAATTACCAGACGGACATGATAGTCGGGTGAAACATCTGTGGAAATAAAACTAAGTCGCCAATAGTCAGGAGTGGTTTTTACTCAGCAGACTCTGAGCTCTCATGATAATTACGAGTTGATTGGTTGGAATACTACCTCTTTGAAGACAGACCACATGCTTTTGTTCTGAAAAAGGTTCCTAACAGTCTAGTCACTATAAACAGAACATCAGAGTCAAGCGAATCATTTACTTTACATAAAAGGGGCGCTTAGCTCACGGATGATAAAATCGTAGCGAAACACGGCGAAAAGTCGAACTCACGATCATTTACTGCTCCCAATACTAGTGTCACTCAAACCGCTATAGGAATCCTAACAGGGTTATAAAGAGCCCGCTCAAAATAATAAGCATAACCAATCTCCTCTATACCGCACTAGGGTTCGCCGGAGACTATCTCCAAGATTCTCACGTTCAGAAAGTTTTAATATCGGTGAGTCACTCGTTCCCCTTGTAGACCCGTTCATGACGCCCATCTGGAAAACAGGTAAGTAAATAACCCTCCACTTTCACCCATTTACAGTGATTGAAGTGTGAAGGTGTAGTCTGATCGTCCGGGTGAGTGTAGTCCTGAGAAGGACTGTTGTCGGTGGTAGTGACTGACGTTTCGACAACCTGTGCAGAAGTCATCATCAGAGTCAAGTGAATGATTGTTGTCAGTAGAATGTTCTTATTCCAGTTCGTGTGAAATGATCGGTTGGTTTTGCCGTGATGTTATTGGCTGTAAGACTCAAGTGGCGTAAGTCGGTCGTGATTGGTCTGTTTCGATCTGTCGGTAAAGTTAGGTCGTTCTTTTTCGGTCGTTAACTTTACCGACAGATCGAAACAGACCAATCACGACCGACTTACGCCACTTGAGTCTTACAGCCAATAACATCACGGCAAAACCAACCGATCATTTCACATGAACTGGAATAAGAACATTCTACTGACAACAATCATTCACTTGACTCTGATGATGACTTCCGCACAGGTTGTCGAAACGTCAGTCACTGCCACCGACAACAGTCCTTCTCAGGTCTACACTCACCCGGACGATCAGACTACACCTTCACATGTTACCCCCGGGTTCAAACCATTTACTGCAGTGATTGAAGTATTAGTCAGTGTTTTCGCTACTTAATGATAAGATAATGAAATAGTAATACCACGACTAAGAAATAACCCCAAAAAATCGTGTTTTCTTTGTAGTGTATCTTTTTATTGTTTAACATATCTAGAATTCAGTTGCTCGCTTACAAAATCCGCCTTGTTCAAAACTGACATCAATCTATCAGCCAACAAACATGTAATCCACGACTTTTACATGAATATTTTCAAAACTATAATATCACAGCAGGTCTCCTGGCGAGCGTTCAAAATAATTCAAGGAGCAATGTCACGTTTAACCCTTTACACTGTTACATCAGTATGCATATTCATAGCTGTACGTCACATGACGGTTTAAATGCAGCGGAACTAATAAATCTATAACGCAGCCGACTTCTTACTGCCTTTTATTACTTATCTGAAAACATCTAAACACATAACTTGGAGACTTGTGAAGCAACTGCTCAGTGCTTGGTAAGATAAATAGCCATAAGAATTCCACCCAGGGCGACAACTGTAGCTCCAAAAACAAGCTGCCATCCGAGAAACTGAAAAACAAAAACAGAAAACTACAACTTCTAACAGTTCGCAAGAGCTTCAAGATCGCTCGACTTCAATTGATCATAAGGAACTTATTAACTCGAAGAAGTATTCTTTTCTATTCCTTTTTTTTTTTTTCGACAAATAAAGTCTCGCCGCCTTTCTCTGTTTTTTTTGTTTTTTTTTAGGTATCTACGGGGACCCCGGCAAGAACCCACATGATTAAACAGGAGGTTTATCCGAAGGGGCCTTGGGAGAGGGGTCCATCAAACCCGCGCACCGCGCTTTATTTCGTTCCCAGGATGGAACCAAATATGGAAATAAATACTAGTTAGTTCGCTCGCGCTTCAGCACAGTTTTAACCTCATTGAAAGTTTAGCAGAAAACTGGATATCCTAATACAATATGGGGCAGCAGTAAATGATCACAGAATGCAATACATACCGATCGGTTGTTTTTCTTACTTCCTCTTCTGGTTAGATCTCCGACCATTCGTCGGTACATACTTCTTTCGCTTTCTTTTTCCGAAGCCAGTAGTTGTTTTAGTCGATTGAGTTCTTTCTTTATTGTCTGAAAAATAAACGTTGCACTCTCAAAGACCACCGAAATATGCCTCTTGAAAGGGACCAGTTTCGGAGAAATTCAGAGTAAATTTGAGGTGATATGGTTCAGTATGCCTTTATGTTGGAGTCAAGGCAAGACAAGGCAAGACAAGGCAAGACAAGGCAAGACAAGGCAACGCCACCCTCCCCCACCCCTGTTCACTTTCCCCTGTTTTTCGCCTGTGGTTTGCCCGAAATTTTGTCACATGGAATTAATAATTCTCCATTTGCAGCTAACAGAAAGAATGTAGGAGCAAGTTTCTTTTTTAAAGGTACAACACGCTGAAAAAAGCTGGCTCTCGTGACCGTCCAGGATCACGCAATAGAAACCGCCAGAAGATAGAAAGTCAACACTATTTCATGAAAATTGTTCACACACAAGAAAGTCCAGTAAGTGTCTCCCTGTCCCATAAGTAACTTTTAATGGGTGACAACAGACTTTCCTAAACTCTCTTTAACACAAACTGGGTAACTTACTGGATTACTTGGATCCAGCTGACCTGCTTTCTTAATAAAGCCTAAGGCTTGGTCTGTGTCTCCACTGGACGCTAAAACCTGTTGGGATTAATACACATCTATCAATATCATCATATTATTATAGAGACAAGGAAACTATGGCACAGCTGGGAATTAATTGGAGTGTTTACCTTGCCTTTCCTAAACAGAGCCTTGACATTGTCAGGATCAACTTGTAATACCTGAGAACAAGATTTCTCTGCCGCAGAATAAGCCTTAATCTAGAAAATAATGATCATTGTTACCATATGATGTGCGAATAAATTCAAAGTTAGCGTGGTCTAAACGTCAGGTGAATGGTACTTTCAGTAAGAAACTGTTACCTTTAGCTGGGCAGCAGCCATGTTATTCCAACATTTCACCCTCAAGCTTTGAACTTCCTGCAAAATATGAGTTATCTTGGCCAGTTGGATTTGTAAAAAGGTATTGAGGAGAATTTTATATTAATAAAAAAGGCTGCTGGGTGATTAAGACCCAGCCATGGTGCACAACATCCATGTATGTATGGTGCTTGTCATAACGTGACATGACCAGTTGGAAAATAGCCACTCCTTTCAGAAGAGATATCTCTATCAAATGTACTCCACCTCAAAGTCTCTTAAAAACATTACACTGGTCAATCAATTGATGGAAAAAACAATTTTTTTTCTTATTTTCTGCTTTTTAAGTGATATCTATTTGATACAAAAATTGATGAAAAAATACAAACCTCAGATGTGGATGATCCCAGATATTTTATGGCTCTTAAATAATTAGGAAAAAAGAAAGTGTGTTATCTAAACAGACCTTACATAAATGCATTTATCACCTAAAACAGTGGTAAATGAAATTAGCAAGAAATATCTTTAAGATCAATAAATTATTTACAAATTGTATACCTTTGATAACTGTTGATTGCCCCAGCATAGTCACCTCCAGTGTAAAGATCATTTCCCATTTCTCTCTTTTTCTCCCTTGGAAAAAAAGGGAACAGCATTAGTGGCTCTAACTTTTTTCAAGTTCAGTAATTCTAGTACCTGGAAAATACAGTCTCACCCTACAGACTCAAAAATAGGTTAAGGGAAAATAACACTTGATTTCATGAAAAAAAAAAAGCACCATGATTGAATTATTTCAATCACAAATATTTAAGAGAACAGTTTAAGAAAGGAGTACCTTAGTAAAAGCAAAAAACAAAAGGCATTCTTCAAGATCAATCATTTGAATTCCATACCCAGTGGAAATTCTTTCTTTATCACTCATGGTATTGATATTAGGACCATCTCGAACTGACAAGAGTTGTATTTCATAAGTAATTTTAGCATCAGGAGGGATGGGAGGTTTTGCATCAGGCCTGAGAAGGAAGCGAAAATGATGATTAATGACAGAATTTTTGAGGCCACCCAATACTGAACAAGTCCTGAGAGTTTACTTCAGGTTTTCCTAACAATGTCTTCCATTCTTCATCATTAAATCAAACCTACTGAAACAAACTTGAGGCAAGTCTTTTTCAAGATCTCAGTCTGATCATTACAAACTGTGCCTAACAGAACAAAAGAGCTAATTGGGTCAAAAGCCAAATTTTCGCTAATCTTGTTTGTCTAATTTTTTAGAAGTGATTTAGTTTGCTTTGTCTTGGACTTGATGTATCAGCAAAATTCTCCTTGGAGAACTCAGTAATTAAGACATCTCCAGGCTTGACTTTCAAATAGTTGCCTTTTGATGACCTTTGATTGTCAAATGGCTGCCATATCAGAAAAAATTGGTCAACTTCTTCCACCTCCCTCTTCCCCCCGCAACAATATATTGCAAATAGCACCTTAAATCACTTGACAATTAGTCACCAGCCTTCTTAATGCAAAGTTGAAGGTTAGACTTAAATGCTGCATGTAATATAAAATAAAGTTTATTTCAACAAAATTAGGTCAACTTGTATCTTGATCACTGCTTATTTCAGGTTAATGTGTATCTGGGGGTTATGGAATGGTGAGAGCAAAAAAGAGACAGACAGGAGAATTACTGGCATTTGTTCAATCGTAAATTCGCTCATTTCCCTTTTTTTTTTTCAAAAAATCTGTTGGTCACTAATTGGTAACTTTTGTTGAAATTTTAGTCCCAAAATATATATTTCCACTGGTCATGGCTACCAAAATAGTCATAATGAACAAAGAAATATTTAAGAAATCAGTGGACAGACATACTTTCCTGCTTTGCCATAGGCATATCTTGCATCTGTAACAAGTTCACACACCTCATCCAGCTCCATAAGGGATATTCCTATGTCAAAGGCTGAAAAATTGTTTTTTTTTAAGAATCTACAGTTCATACTGTTTTGGACAGTTAAGCTTAAACATTTTGGATCTATATTTTGCAGCAGTGTTTGGGGTTTTCACATATTTTTTAAATAGGTGACAGGGTGCCACAGAAGTGGAAGTTTGGCTGTGAGTGGTTTTTTTTTCAGACACTTTTAAATGTCATTTGCTTGTAAGTTGAGCTACCAGATAAGCCTAAACATTTTGGATCTATATATTGCAGCAGTCTTTGGGATTTTCACATATTTTTTAAATGAATGACAGGGTGCTACAGAAGGTGGAAGTCTGTCTGTGAGTGCTTTTTCTTTTTTTCCACAGACACTCTTAAATATTATTTGCAGCCATTTCAGCGTAATTGTTTCCTGAAAGATGCATAAGGCTGTGTTCACAGAAATGTACTACTGTCAGACTGACACCTGGGTAAGTTTCTGTGCTTAAAGCATACTCCTCCACCTATCTCCAAAATAATCATTGCTCAAATACCTTGGATAACCTCTCCTTCCCCAAGAATGAACTCCAAATTGCTATTCCAGTCAACAGCTGTCCCATCCTCTGTACGTCCAGCTGACTGTATCATAACACGTTGCCCTTTGTCTGGTCGAGTATCCTGACCCTTTCCTTCACGCAACACCTACACAAGGAATTGTAGACAGTAACATGTAGTATTGAAACTAGGTTAAAATCACCTTACACAGAACACTCCCATGCCTCCAACACTTTTTTCACTAAATGTAAGCTAACTTAAAGCTCACTACAGTACCATTCTGACAACTACTTAGAGTATGATTTAGATGAAATGAAGTGGTGTATAATCTCCAGTTAACCCAAAAAATAAGTCAAACCAAGCAGAAATAACTAACACTACAAACCCAAACCCAAGCTTTATACAATCCAAATTCCCAATAGGGAAAACCAGAATTTTAACGGTTTATAATAATAATAATAATAACAAAAATATTTCTCAAACTCCGCTGGTAGCCATGTCAAGCTGACCGCCGCAACAATATTTAAATAGTGCCTATACTTTTCAGTGCTAAGTGCTTGGGTCAGCTTTATACCTACAATTTATGTGTCTATCAGCTCAAGACTTTTCACTTAATGGTTACTAGACTGGCATTTAACAAACTTCAAAATTTATAGTACATATTTGGGAATGTTTTGAAATCTTTGTTAGATGTTTGAGTGTGTRTTKKCCRRRWC